CGGGAGTTGACAGTTCGACCCCAGCGCGGGCGGGTTCTCAGACGCCAGTTTTTGGGTCCACGGGGCCCGTTTCTAGCGGTTCTTATTTAGACGCGCAGCGAGAAAACATGAACGCGGGAGAGTCGAGCGCTTTACCAGGGAGCATCGTTCGGAATGTTGATTTGGGGCCTCTTTAATCATTGCAGAAATCCTTTTGCACATTGGGTTGCGGGGCGTGCGTGTCTGAGCTGATTGATGGGCGATTTGAAGAGCAAGCATGCGCTGTGGTTTGGATGGTTCTCCTGTTCTTGAGATTGCCAGCGTGAGCCCTCTCAATTGCTGTTTGCAGGACTTCAGCAGTCCGTCGCACGCGAAGCAAGCCATCTTGTCGGCGAGCGCGAACTTGCCGACGTCGGCGGTAGGCGCGGCATCGTTAGCAACAGAGGCAGAGAAAAGGAATGGCAGTTTGAAGTTTCTCCGTCGTCTGCGCAGCAACCCAAAAAGCAGCCGCGGGGCTTCGTGCGCGTTTTTTTTTTCCTGACAGCGTAACGACACTGAAACTACAAAGCAGTGGCCATTCGTCGTCATGCGTTGACTCAATATAGAAATAGTGCGCAGATGGGCTCTTGCAAACAGGTGTCTCGCAAGCCCGCTTCTCTGCAGGTGATCATGAGGGTTTGGCGAATGAGTTAGTTGTGTTCAGTGAGTGTCGCGTTGTGTTCGGGGGCGCCCGCTCCTCGGACTGGATATTTGACTTGTCGGGGTAGCGCTTCCAGAGCACCATTCGAAATTCTGATGGTCTCGGAAGCGAGGCGGGCAGGAATTGGAGAAGTAAGAGACAAGCACAATGTGGATGCGAAAGTCCCCGTGTCTGAATGTTTTGAGAGAACGGGCCGCGCCCCCCGCGGGCGCCCGCCGGGGGTCGCGAACAAAGGCGACGATAACCAGCCAGAGCCCAGGAACCGGATGGTTGCGCAGGAACTGAAGAAGTCCGAGGACAGGGGCGACCTTCCAGTAGCAACGCCACCACTCTGAGGCTCTGAAGTTCATCCTCAGCTCGTGCGCGACAGAGCCACCAAAACAACAACATCGTAAGTATTTGTCGTTGCTGGACGTTCGTGCAGGTTTTCGTGCACCTGCCGCTCGAGAAGCGCATTCGCAGTTGCCACCCGGAGACCGCTCGCCGCATGCGTGGCTGCTTCGACAAAAACCTTCGCGGCATTTGTGATGCCGCTTTATTGGGGGGCGCAGTGCGCGGCAGCGGCGCGCGCAGGTGGGTTTTCTAGTGGGCATTGGAACCCATTTATGTTCGCGTGCAAGACGCGCGATTTGACATGTTACGCACGCGGAGACGATTTCGTTGCAGTGGACTCAGGTGTAGATTTAAAGTTGTTTTTTATTTCAAGGAAGGTGAATTTGCCATTGAAGACCACGGTGCCTTGGGCGGCCTCCAACGCCGCATCCAGGAAATACGTTGCCCAACCGAATAATCCGTTGGTGCGTTGACGAGAGGGCGACGGGGCCGCATCTCGAGTGTGTGCCGGAGAACTGGCATGATGATACTGTTGTTTCTCTGCTTGGTCTGGACCGTTCGCAAGCAGGCGCGAAGGCGGCAACCGCGCCTGGTTTGAAACAGAGCTTTCGAACGATTCTGACCAGTTTGATCCAGATATGACCGCGTCGGTCAGGAGTGCCCGCGCGCGCGGGACATTTTCCCCGCGCGGGGCCGCGCGGATTTGTTATTCGCAGCAAAGGAAGCAGCGCGCCGCATGTCGAACCCCGCAGTGGCAGACATGGGAGCAGTAAAACGCATTGCCCGGCATTTACGTGATTGCCCTAGAACGCGACAGCGGTCTCATTTGCAGCCGTCGCAATGTCATTGCGACGCTCGCGTAGACAGCGACCGCGCAGGGTGCTTGGGCGCGCGGAAGAGCGCGAATTGAGGCGTCCAGTCCCATGGGCAGCATAGCATCCGAACGCATTTTTCTGCCCCGACCGCGCTGGCATTGAGTTCCGGGAGGCCAGGAGTTTACGGCGTCGCAAATGGTATCAGCGCGCGTTTAGGTTTCGAGGCAATGGCGCGAGGTTTTGGATTTGATCTCAAATGCAGGCATTTCGCGGACAGCTCTTCGGCGAAGGCGATCGCTGCGAGGGCGCGGGGGAGGCGCTCTACCAGCGCGCCCAATCGCCGCGGGCGCAGGACAAGGTTCTTCAGAAGGAAGTCTCCGTGCACGGAGTGCCCGGGAAAGAAGGCCCATCCGACGTGGGCGCCGAATATCTTGCCCGAGTTTCAATGTGCAAATTCTTGGCTAAATTGAGTCAGGTAGCCATGGCAGGACAATCGAATCTTTCTCTCCGAGCAGCAATTTGATCTCCACTCAGCAGACGCCTGTTTGACACGTGATCGTTTTGAGATTCGCATTGTTTTGCGCCGTCGTCAATTCCGCGGAAAACGACCGTGCGAGCGATCAGAGAGAGGTTCTTTGCACCCCTTCCACCCAAGTAAAGCGAACGCGCATGAGGCGCGCCCGGCCAGCGCAGAAGCAGTGGGTTCGCATGTCAGAGGATTCACCGTGGATCGCCACGCTCCGCTACATTTGTCCCATTGCCTTGAGTCGAGTGGCTCGGTCGCGTGATCGCCAGAGCCATCTCCCCCAACTGCGCAGACGTCTTTACCGAGGCGGCGCGTCGAGCATTGAAGTGTTTAGGCATGTTGGCAGCGGCAGTTGGGGGGCAGCAGCGTTTTCTTTTATCGTTCCGCAGGCATTCGGAAAGTCCCAATAAGCATCCATATTTATCATATACGCGTACACGTGCACATTTTTATTTGTTAGTGCATGTGTCACATGGTTGTGCAACATCAGCTTTCAAAAAAGTTCGCGCTCGCGGTGTTGCGGATTCTTGAGAAAACGGCAGGGACTTCAACTGTTCATTGCCTTATGCCAAACGGGCCTGTTGCGCCGCATGTCGAACTCTTTCGAACGCCATTGCGAGCGTGCTGGGGACGGGGGGGGGGGGGGCGCGGTCCGCGCCGCATGCTGCCGCGCGGGCCACGTCGTGCGCATAGGCCTCGCGTGCGTGTCGAACTCCCGCAAAAAGCTTCATCGCCGACGCGAGGGCAGCGCCGCCGTTGCTGGCGGGCGCGATCAACATCGGCGCCGCCGTTGGCCTTGCCGTCGTCATCGCCACCATCGTCACCATCATGGCTACTCACACAAATGCGCTCATCGTTGTCGGCGTCGCGATGATACCGCGCCCGCCCAAATCACCAACTCGCATTGAAGTGTCCGCTGGGAAGTGCCCAGCGGTCAGCGCCACCGCGGCCGCGTCAGTAGCTGGCCGTTGCGTGCGCGAGCATGCGCGGGCTAGCGCTGCCGCAGACATGCACCTGCCAACGCTTAGCATTCATCGCAATCGCCGCCGCATGGTTTTGCAAGCCATGTTGCGGGTGGTTGGGTGGGTGGGGCGCTTACAAGAGCATGGCATGTGTCTCTCTTGTTGTTGTTGTTTGTGGAAAAAGTGCACCACCGAGATCTCATTTCTTATACAGGAGTATTAGGATCTACGCCCCCCTTGGCGATTGACGATTCATTTTTTCCGCATTGCAATTTACAAGCGATTTTGCCCCATCGTGGCGCCGCCCCCCCTCTTCTTCAACAGATAGTATTCGCTGGCATTCGTTCAGCACAAACGATCAGTGTCCACGAGCTCCTTGCAAAAACAACCGGACGGAATGCACACGCGCGAGCCGTCGCGCGCGCAAATCGAAATTTTATAAACATGTTCTATGTTTCGTAAGGGTGTCAAAACCGAGTGCCCCGAAAGCATACAGGAACACACAGTTTTGCAACAGGGATTTCACAAAAAGCTTGCGCTCGGGCCCGTGCGAATTGTTTTAAACATCCGTTTTTTGTTATATATATATATATACATATATATATAATAGTAAAAATAAAGATAGGAAAAAACGTGTTCATAACTTGCTACCAAACGGGCCGCTCGCGCGCGCATGTCGGGATCGCTCGGGCGCCCTTGCGCGCGTGCTGTCGCAGGAATATGTTGCAACAAATGGGGCGACGTGAGTGCGCGCGTGCGTCGTCGCACGCGCATGCCTACATCCGCCAGTGGGACATTCGGTGGAGATTTCGAAGGGGCCACGAAGTGCTGTATTCGGTGGGGTGGACGCATGCGAGTTCCGCCAATGAGACCTTCGGTGGAGCTCACTATGGGGCCACGGAGCGCTGTACTGTGTGTGCCGAAACAAAAACATGCGGAGGGCAGAGGCAAGGAAAGAGAGGAGGGAGGAGAAAAGAGACGCGGGGCGCTGTCACTTTAAACGGGAACCAAACACCGCAGGATAGTTGGGGGGGAAGAGAGAGAGAGAGAGAGAGAGAGAGAGAAAGAGAGAGAGGAAAACAAAGAGAGAGAGAGAGAGAGAAAGAGAGAAAGAGAGAGAGAGAGAGAGAAAACAAAAAAAGAGAGAGATCTGTAGATAATCGGCTCGGTGGCGAGCACCATACTTGTTTGAGTGAGTGGGCACTGCGTCTGCGCCTGTTGTGTTGGAGTTTGGGCCCATGGCGGGGTGGTCACTTGTCCACCCGCGTGCCCTCCGGGCCTTGGCTGACCCAGTCTTTGGCTGGCCGACCGCTCAGTTGTGGTCGAGGCTTCCGGATGGACCGCGGCAGCGACAGTGGCAGCACAAAGGCGGGCAGGGCACGACCAGGAGCAGCATCCATTTGGACATCGTTTGTGCGTGGGCTTGCCTTGGCTGGCCACGACGACGCGGACGACGACGACGACGACGGCGACGGCGACGGCGACGACGACTGCGACGGCGACGACGACGGCGACGACCACGACGACGGCGACGACCACGACGGCGACGACGACGACGACGACGACGACCTCTTCCCTCTCCTCCCTCCTCCCTCTTTCTCCTCACTTTTCCTCCTCCTTCCTCCTTCCTCCTCCTCCCTCCGTCCTCCTCCCTCCAGTTTACCAGACCAGTTCGGGAGGGGCAGGAGCGCCTGCGAGACGTTCGGTGAGTGGACGCAGGTGGAAGCGACGGCGGGCACGGGAAAGTCTGAACGCTCACGCTGCAGAGCAACGGTATCAACCAGATTCTCAGAGGAGGGAAAATGTACGGTACCGATACCGCTACCCTTGTGTCGCTTCCGTCCTTTTGGGTCTCCTACGAGGCCTTCGTCGACATTGCTGGATTCGCCTCGAAGTTATGGTCAGAAAGCACCCCAGCAGAGGTCAGGGAAGTAGCAGTATCGGTACCTCGTGGTTTCCCCAGATTATTTTTATTCTATGTTGGCGGGATTCGAATATTGTCAAAGGGCCGTTTCGAGGCTCGGAAGTCCCACGGACGGGTACGGCTCGCCAGACAGATTTGAATCCGACACGAGAGTTCCGGGGGCGTGAACTCCCAAGTCGATGTTTGATAACCTGACTAGATTGATACAAGGTGCTACGAGATCTACGTAGCCCCTAATAAGTTATGGCCCCTAGCGCAACGTCGCCCGGAGTTGACAGAGGCGGCGCCAGTGATTTCAAGTGCAGCACGCCCGAAGCCCTTGTTTACCACATGTGTTTTTTTGTTTCAAACTCGTGAAGCCCTGCTGATCTGTTGGAGTATCGGGGAGGGTTCATGACAGCGCGAACGAGTGAGTATTGAGTGTGGGCACTTTCGACGTTCTTTTCTTCTTATCCCTGGACGCTTCTGGAGGAGAGGACGCAGATGAGCGGATCCCAGAGGGACGATGACTGGAGTCCTCCGAAACATAGGCCTACACACTCGCCGTGTGTTGCTGACTGTCCCTCCACGTTGAGGTGTGCATGTGTTTGCTAATCGACCGTGCGCTGCAGTTGCGGCTTGCTTGAAGCCGCTGATGCCAGCTTGTTCCGAGGCGGGGATGTATACCGATAGGACCAACCTTCGGGTGATAAGGACGGTTGGGGGGAAAGGGGGAGGCGGTCGATTGGCAATGGGTCCCGCCTACCGCCAACGAATAATGCACGACAAATAATGAATACCACTCACTCCCGCTGGCTCCTATCAACATATTATATGTTGTATAGATTTATGTGTATATGTGCATATATATATATATATATATATATATATATATATATATATAGAGTACACACATATATATATATATGTGTACATGTAGATCTACCGATTAGTCTTTCAACATAGATATAGCCGATTCCTCAAGCAGTTCATCTATCGATCTAGCTATCTTATACCGTGGGGATGGTTGGCGCAAGGACGTGGCATTTTTTGATCGCGCATTACTTGGTGGCCACGGGCGCCGTCAATCGCATGTATTTGCTTCTACCCGCGCTGCTGCACAGGTGGCGGTAACAGGTGGCTTTTATGTGCTTGCCCCGTTTTGTATAGCAGCAAGTGGAAGTGGATGATATTTGTTTGCTTGTTGTAAAGCAAAGTACGTGGCAGTTCTGTGCCCGCCCATCTTTTTGGTTGTGCTTGGCTGCCGCTTGTCTGCGCGCACCTGCCTATTTACCCAGCGGCCCATACGTATCTACTTCTACTGCTGTGTATTTATCTACCCACCTACTTGTCTATCGATCTGTACATACTTATGTACACACATCTCCATTCGTGTATATATCCATCCGTCTGTATATCGTTTTATCTCCCTATCCACCTCTCGATATACCTATATATTGGGTAACGTTGGTGGTAATGGTGAGTGGTGATGATGGTGGTGGCGGTGGTGGTGGTGGTGATGGCAGGATGGTGGGATGGTGGTGGACATGTGAGGTTATGTTTTTTGTTCATGCTACTGCACCAGAGCGCGATGCCAGCTTCGCTTAGTCGCGCGTGTCTTAACGGCTGCGCACTCAAAAACAAACCTTACTGCAATCCGACATGTGCTTGGCGCACTAGCAGAGCTTGGTGCCACGAACCGGGCGGCCGATTGCATCGTTGTCGTCGTCGTCGCGTTCGCCATCGACGTCACCATTATCACCGCCGCCCCCATCGCCGCCAGTTGTCCCAGCATCATTAGCAGCCCCGTCGTCGTCGTCGTCGTCCTCGCCGTCGTCATCGCCAGGGCCTTGCGCAACCCTATTGCCACTGGGGCTATTCCATTGGCGTGCCGCGAAAAGGCGCTGAGCGGCGCCAGATCTGGTCGCTGTCGGTTATGTCGTAGCGCCAGTGGCTCCCGGGCCGCTCCCCAGCGCTGCCGAGAGCTGTCCGCCCTCAGGGGCACCCCGGCCCCGCGTATCCAGCGGCGCGCACGCGGCCGCGCGCAAGCGCTTCGCACGCATAAGAGAGCGCTGCCCACCCCCTTGCGGCGAGACAGCGCAGAAACAGAACCCGCACAGGCGCACAGGCGCGCTGTCAGAGACTGGCGCGCCGCCGCTCCGCTCTGCGCACTCGCGGCGCATGTGCTCCTGGCGCCCTGCCCATTTCCTGGCAGATGAGCGACGCGGGGGCCGCGGCCACGCGCGCGCCCCCCGAAGCGACGACCGCGCGCGCGTGCATTGGCCGCGCGACGACGCCTCTGAACAGGAGGCCACAATTGGCGGGCCGAACACAGAGCGCTCGCGAGCTCGGCGCCCCACGTCAAGCCTCGCGCACTTCCACGACGCCCCGTTCCCTGGCAGAGTCCGGGGAAAGAGCGCGCCGGCCGCGGCGGGCGCATGTCCCGCATAACGTGGGCATAGACGCAGCGAGCGGCCTCAGAGAAGGAAGCTGGCGGGCACTCCATCCCAACGCCAATGGCAACCGCACGCTCTTTCACGGGCTGATCTCACTGGAAGCCGAGGTGCGCCCGCAAATGCGTCGCGCGAAGCCGCCGTGCGCCGCTGCCAGAGCCTGGCAACCTGGAGGTCTCGGGCCGCTCCAGGGCCACGATTCGGAGTGCGCGGTAGAGGTAACGCACGTGCGCCCCCGCGAAGTGCTTTCCGAGAGCCCGCGTGAACTCCCCCAGAGCGACCGCCGCCCCGGCGCGGCGCCACTAGGAGGCCGCGGTTCCCTGGCACGGGGCGCGCGCGCGGGTGACTTGAGCGCGCCAGTTTGGCCAGAGATCTTCGGGGCGGCACGTGGAGTGCGATCTCGCGGGCGCGCCCCCGTCGCAGCAGAGCCATTGCTCGCTTCAGTGAGAGAGCGCGGCGCAGGCAGAGCCTGGCGCCACCGCGCGCAGCTCCCAGCCCGAGCGCTTGCGATCCAGCTCGACGAGCTCGCCCGGGTGCTTCTTCACCAGGCACGTATGCAATTTCGCGCGACCCCCCGCGGCGTTGCTCGCCTTGCTTGCGCGCAGGTTTCAGGGAGGTCTCCAAGCAATTTCGAGCACTCTCCCCGGAGGTGCACAGACTGGTCTCCGCAATGCGTGAGATTCGTGGCCCGCAAACTGCGCCTGTCGGCAGTGGCCAGGGACCGCCGATCGCCATCGCTGGCAAAGCCTGGCGACCACTCCAACTCGAGCAGGTTTTTGCCGTCCCCGAACTCGAAGAGTTCCAGCCGCGCTCTGGCCGGCATGCCTCGCGAGTGCCCCCCGCCCTCCTTCGCCCCCCTCTTGCCCCTTCCATTTCTTATTGCTTGTCCCCCGTCCTCGCCATCGCGCGCGTTCCCCCCGCCCCCTGCCGCCCCCCGCCCATGCCCCCAGCCCCATCGGAAACAAATTCAAGTAGAACTACCAGCGGATCCTGCCGCGATCCTCTTCGCCGCCCCCCCTGCCCCCCCCCAATCTTGACTGGCGCGCCCCCTCCTCCTGCTGCAGCGCCGTCGCCTGGATGCCCGCGTCCTTCGGGCAAGCCGCGACGCAGCGAAAGCGCGCATGTTCGACCTCTCGCTCCGCGGCGGCCTGCAATTGGGCCAGCTGAGTTCTATTCGCGACAGGGCTGCCGCCCCCGTTGCAGGAACGGCGGCAGCGCGTCCGCGCGCGCCGCGGCATGATCGGCAGCCGCGCGCATGTCTGCTGCAGCGCTGTCAGAGACTGGCCCCGTGCAGGTCCTCGGCGAACTCCGCGGCGCCGTCGAAGACAGCGGCTTCTTCTGCTGCGTCGCTGGGGCCACCATAAGCGATAATTTCTTCGACATAGTCGTCAGCGGCAAACGCCGCCGCGAGCTCTTGCAGGGCGCGCGCCGGCAGCGCCGGCGCCTCGAGGTTTTCCAGCGGGCTTGGTTGCAGAGACGGGCCTGTCAGCGCCTTTGCAGTCTCGGTCAGGTGTTGCAGCGAGCTCGAGGGGGTGCTGGCAGAGCCTGGCGCGGCCGCGGCCTCTTCTGCGGGCTCGCGCGGCAGGGCGAGGGCGCCCTGCGCGGCCCCCGCGGCCGCCAGCTTGCTGGCTTGGCACGGCCGCGGCCACTTCTGCATGCCCTGGCGGCGGGGCAAGGGTGTCCTGCGCAGCCTCCGCCTCCTGTTCGCCGGTCTTATTCTTCTTAGTGACCGACTCCGCGTCAGCTTCAAGAGAGGGCGGCGAGCGCGCCAGCGCTGGCCCCGCATCTGGCGCAGAGAGCGGAGGGGCAGCGTCTGCCAGGGCGCGCGCCCCCGGATTCGACGGAGCCGAAGCCGCAGCCGACGGGGCCGACGGAGCCGCCGCGGTCGCGGCGAAGAATGGCGCGCACAGCCTCGCCTGCGAGGCCGGCCGCGGCGCGACCCCGAGCAGATGCAGCGGGCGCGGCTGCGGCGCTGCCCCTGCGCCCTGGGCTGGGCTGGGCTGGGAGAGCCTGGAGCAGCCGCCCCAGGTGCCGTCGGCTTGCCGACAGAGCCGCGCGCGCCCGCGCCCTCTGCTGCAGGGCCCTGCGGCGCGGCCCGGGCACCCTGCGCGGCCCCCGCGTCAGCCGCCGCGCCACGCGAGGCAGATCGGTTCCCGGTCGACAGGGCGTCTGACGAGGCGCCTCTGCCAGCGGGGCCGCGGGGGGCGCGGCCAGGCGCGGGCCCCGGCGGCGTCTTCGGCCCGCGGCGCGTGCGCATGCGCGACGAGGTGGAGACCAAGATGTTCGGCCGCGCTCCGGGGCGCATCGGCTGCGAGAGCTACGCGGCTGGCCCCCGGCGCGCAGCCGCAGCGGGGTGCGCGGGGCCAGGGTCGCGAGGCTGATGGAAGGCGACTTCGACATGCGCGAGCGCGCGAGGATCGCGGAGGAGCGCAGCGGTGAGAAGCGGGCGGTTCTCGAGGCGGCGGCGCCGGAGACCGCCGTGGCGGTTGGACAGCCAGCCCCCGGCGGGTCGCAGGGGGCAGTTGCGTCCAGCAGCTCAGTAGCGGTGCCAGGGCCAGGGCAGCCAGCGCCGCGGACATCGATCACGACGCCGACGTCGATGCCCGCGCGGCGCGGCGCGCCTCGGGCGCCTGACCAGCCGACCTCCAGCGGATCGCGAGGGGCGGCTGCGCCCAGTAACTCAGCGGCGATTGCTCGCGCACCCCCCCCAAGCTCCGAGGCGGGAGGAGACCGCGACGGCGGCTGCTTCGAGCTCGGCGCCGGCGGCGCCAGCGGTTGGGGACCTGCACGACGAGCTCGGCCCGGCGGCCTTGCAGGAGGGCGAGGTGCGTGAAGCAGTGCATCAAGCATGTCTCGGAGGGGAGATACTTCCTCCGCGAGCACCTAGACTGAGCATGGAGCTGGAAGCTGGACTTCATGCTGGAGCTCCTGCAGCGGCCGGGTGTTTCGCGAGTGCGGGACATCAGTGCTGCTGGGGCCAGCGGGCGGTGGATTTCGATGGCGAGACGGCGGGCCCGGCTCTCAAGCCAACCAGCTGGAAGAGCAATTCCGAGTGCATCCTGGCCGAAGTGTCGAGGAGGTGCTAAAACGAGACGCTTCCTCGCAGCCAGTGGCGCCGGCGCGTTCCGCTGGCGGGAGCGGAGACGAGGATGGCGCAGCACTATCCCCAGCTCACCGGGTCCTCCTCGCAGGTCGCGCCCACGGTGAGCTCGCCATGGAGAACTACGGGCGAGGAGCTCAGCCTGTCCGGGCAGCTCCTGGACGCCAAGCTGGCCCGCGCAGACCAGGAAGAGGAGCTGCGGTACATGGGCGAGACGAAGGCGTGCGAGGAGGTCCCAGAGCCCCCCCCTGCTGGGGGGGACTGAGGCGGCGCCCATCCAGGGCGAGTGGGCGGACGTCAACGAGGGCGACGGATCAGATCCAGGCTTGTCACGAAGGAGCTGACGAGTGCGCGCAGCAGAGGGCCGGCGTCTTCAGGGGCGACGCGTTCTCGGCCACGCCGCCACACGAGGGCGTGAATATGCATTTCAGCAGGATGATGAGCGGGGAGCGCGGCGACTGCAGACGGGGGGCGCTGATGTTCTCGGGCACCAGCAGGGCGCACTTCCACGGCCAAGCACGCCGGCGGGCGTTTGCCCAGCTCCCAACCGTGGGGCGCAAGCCGGGCCAGTGCGCATTCCTCCTCGCGAGCATGCCTCGCGGCGGCCAACTTCGCCGATGAGGTGATGGAGGTGCTGCGAGAGATGGGCTTCGCGATCGGCGTGTTCCGCCCATGCTCGCGCAGGCGCGACAGCAGAGGCATCCTGCTCTTCTACCGCGGGGGCGACTTCTGGCGGAGGGCGAGACGAGGCGATGGAGCGGTTCAAGGTCGAGCTGTCCAAGCGCGCGCTGGCGAGGCGCGAGGGGTGCTCGGCTCGGGCCCCAGCGTCACGCGAGAGATCATGCTGCTCGGCAGATCGCCAAGCGGACCGAGATCGAGACTGGTGTTCCGTGCTTGCAGTTGGAGGCTGGCTCCCGCCACGCGGAGATAGTCCGGTCGCGGCGCGGGCTCGGGCTGGACAAGGGCAGCAAGCGAGTCGCGTCGCCCGGCATCAAGAGGGCGGCGGGAGAGCTGCTGAAGCCCCCCCGTGCTCGACGCGACGGAGCGTGTGCGTGGAGATCAACTATGCTTGGCGACGGATCGCATCGACCTGTTGCACGCGGCGACGAAAGCAGCAACATCCATGAGCAAACCAGCACTGGCTGCCATGGAGATGGTCAAGCGTATCGGACGCCACGTGCTGCGCAGGCCTAGGGTCGCGCAGAGCTTAGTCCAGCAGGACGAGCACATCCTGACAGTGGCGTGCGACTTAGACCATGCGGGCTGCGCGATCACACGGCTCAGCACGTCAGGGCTGGTGCTGCGCCGCGGTGCTCGCCTGCTGAAGGCGAGCGCCAACGCGCAGACGGCGGTGGCGACATCAGCGGCGAGTCGGAGTTCCACGCGATCGCGCGCGGCGCCAGCGCGGGGCTCGGCGCGCAGAGCGTGGACAAGGACTTCGGGCTGGTGAAGAGCCGGGAGATCGAGACGAATGCGACGGCCGGGCGCGGCATGGCGCTCAGGTTGGGCGCGGGCAAGGTGAGACACTTGCGCACGCAGTGCTTGTGGGTGCAGGGCATCTTCCATGAGAGATGAGCGAAGCTGGTCAAGGTCCCCGGGCGAGGTGCACAATGCCGACCTGATGACCAAGCACCTCGCGGGCGAGAAGATCGATTTCTTCCAGGGTCGGCGCGGGCTCGCGAATCTGGAGGGGCGCAATGAGTTGACCCTGAGGGCTGCAGTGCGACGCGGCTTGGACCGAGGAGCTCGGCCACCCGATGTCCACATAGCAGCGCGGCTGTGAGCCGCGGCGAGAGCAGTTGCAGGCGTGTCTCTGCGCCCGTCGACGGCGGCGCGGCTGGCGCGGCCTGGTCGAGGAGGAGCGCGGGGCTACTGACCTCGTGCCAGTGGACTGTCGTAGGTGCCTTCCCGCAGCCGCGTCGGTTCAAAAGGAGTTCGTCAGATTCTCTTGCGCCCGCGGATCAAAACAAGTTTCTTTATCGGCGGGGGGGGGAGTGAAAAGAAGTAGGCCTTCTCAGAAGGCGGCGGGGCTTTTCAGAAGCCTTCCTGGCAAGTTTTTTTGTCTTCGGGGACGGCTTCGACAATGTCTCAAAATGCCAGGTCATTTCTGGGCCTTCTGAGAAGGCCTGCCCCTCTCACTTACCCCCCGTGCTGGCCGTCGACTATAGTCCCTCCACGTGTCCTTGAACCGGGTGTTGCTCGAAGTGCCGCTGGCCCAAGGTGCCCGCAGGATTCCCAAGGAGGCCACAAGGCTTCCAGAGCACCCCTCACGAGGCCCAGAGTGCCCCAGGGCTCCAAAGTGGAGCGAAAAGCTGGTGGCACCTTGGCGCCTTGGGCCAGGGGCACCTTTAGCAACCCCCGATTTGGGGGGCTCTGGAATCACCACCGCCACGTGCACAGGAGACTTCGACACCGTACCCGCGCCCACGGCTGGCCCGCGGCGCCGCACGCTCTCGCGCCTGTGACCGCCCCGCCCTGGCCGACTGCATCGGGTGCCCGTTCGAAAGCGAACGACAGCGAGGCTTGAGGTCCGAGGTCCGAGGTTCGAGGATTGTTTCGGGTTCGAGGTTTTCGGATGTCTCCGTCGGTGCTGGGCGGGCGATCTTCAGCTTCGGGATGCTTGCCAGCAGCTGCGCCTCGCCGAGGGCGTTCCGGGGGTTTTCGGACCGGAGCCCCGAGTGATGACCCCAACACCAAATTCGGCGTTGCGTCCCCCCTTCAGGGTTCATATCGATTTTTCCGATTCGATTCGATTCGATTTCGATGGCTTCCGATTCTGATTCGGTCTGACTTCGGGGTCCGATTTGGATTTCGATTTCGCAAGTGAGGCCTTAACAGCCTGCTGGTTTCCGCTGATTGGGCTTGTCCCGACTTGGCTGCCGATTTCCACTGGCCCGATTCATTTCGACCGCCGATCCGATTTACCGATTCGATGCTGGGCTCGCTTGGGCAAGGGGGATCGCAGCCGCGATGGCCGTGGGGTGCCGGCCGATTTCGATTTCGGCAGCGGATTTGAAGGACAGTGAGCGGGAATGGCGGAGAGCGACGGAACCAGGGCCATCGTTGCCCTTCAGAGCAGGAGGGGATGGGGACGGGGAGGTTGGGGGGAGCGAGCAGAGGGGGGTGGTGGGAGCGCAGCGAGGGGGGTCGAGGATTGATGAAGACAAATTTGCATAAACAGGAACTTCCGGAGCTCCGCACGGATTCCTTGGATCCGCAGTGGTCCCCCTTGGCGCGCTCCGCGCAAGGGAGAGGGGGTCCAGCGCGGATCCAAGAAATCCGCGCGGACCTCCGACAGTTGATGTTCATGCCGTTTCTTGCTTTTCTAAACGAAAGGGAGTGACCGCGAGCGACGGAAGCGGGGAGGTACGGAAGGAGTGCGACGGGGGAGATTCGGACTGCGGTGTGCGTACGTTGTTGTGGGGGCGGCTAGCAGCTGGCACATTGACCTGCTATGAATATGATCTGTTCGAGACGTGGGGCAAGCTTCGTGTCGAACAGACCCGTGCGTGCCCCTTCCAAGGAGAAACAACAGCATCAGCATACTTTTTTGACTGTCCGCGCGAATTTTGTGGATCTGTGCTGGGCCCCCGTGGCCACCCCGTTGGGAGACCTGAGAGTTGTGTTTGCTGGCAGTTGGTGACCACGAGGCTCGTCGGAGAGACGCGCCTAAGTTCGCAAACGGCAAGTTTCGTCCCGAACGGATCCGTGATATGCTGTACCCCAGGCATCGTCGAACCCGAGTGACGCAATTTCTCGAGAAGCAGGGAGACAGGAAGGGGCGTAAGGTAGATCGGGTCCTAGGGGTGAGGGGAAATGGTGAGATGGACGAGGGACGGGAAGAGTCAAAGAAGAAGTAGTATAAATATGAACTGCCTGCGCTCCGCGCGGATTTCTTGGATTGGCGTTGGGCCTCCCGGGCGGCGCCTCCAGCGCCGCCCCTGGGGCGCTCCGCGCGCCATGGAGGCAGGTCCAGTGCGGATCCAAGACATCCGCGCGGACCTCTGACAGATTACATATGCTTATACAGGGTGCACTGCAGGGGATACCAGGGTCGCCAGCAGGGCGGAGTCTGGAGGATCTCATTCCGGGCTTGATGGCAGAGCCCACGCCGGAGATGGAGGCCGCAGCTCTCCGTCGGCAGAGGGATTTCCTGCTTTGGCCGCCACACTTCCCTGGGAAGAATGAAATGGGCCGAGGAGTGGGGAGGGGGGTAAAGCGAAGGCGAGCGGACAAGGCGAAGGGAAGGAAGAAGAAGAAGAGAACAGAGGAGCAGGAGTAGCAGGAGCGAGACTGGGATCAGGATCAGGTCAGGAGCAGAAGGAGGGGCAGGAGCAAGCGTTGAAATGAGCAGGGAAGGCTTTGGCAGGATGGTTCCTCCCAGGATCTCTCGGTTGGAGAACCCTCGCTACACATTCAATGATGATCGCTTTCGTAGTTACGAGCTGTGCCCTTTACATGAGTTGGTTTCCGCCAGTGTGTGGAAAGGTGGTCGGGGAATGTTGATGCCGCCCTTGCTTTATTTTGTGCCACCCGCGCTGTCTATCGAAGACGCCTGCGGCGAATCACCGCCGCCCCCTGCCCTTTTGGAAGCGCCTATGTGGCCGAAAGTCGGGTTTGAGCTTGGCCAAGCTATCGGGCCACGCGTTCCCCGAGTGGGTTTCGAAAGCCTTCGGGGAACACCGAGTCGGGCGAGCTATCGGACCAGGTAGTTTCCGAGCTTTCGGGTCTGCTGGATGACGTCTTGGAGAGGTCTTGGGCCGTCTTGGAGGCCTCTGGCGGGCCTTTCCGGCAGTCGAAGGCCATCTTCAGGCCATCGTCAGGCCATCTGGGGCCGTCTTGGGTGCATCTTGGGGCCATCTTCGTTGTCTTGGAGGCCTTCTTGGCCGTCTTGGAAGCATTTTAGAGGCCATCTTGAGCGTCTTGGAGGCCATCTTCGGCGTCTTGGGAGCCTCTTGGGCCGTCTCGGGGCCTTCTTGGGGCCGTCTTGGGGGCCTCTCGGGCTGTCATGGGGCCATCTTGGAGGCCTCTTGGGCGCTCTTAGGTCGATGTTGGGGGCCGCTTGGGCCGCCTTGGGCCGTCGGAGAGCTGAACAGAAGAAAATGCAAGCATCTTTCAAACACCTAAGGAAAACAATGTTTTTGACCCTTTACGGGCCTTCCTGGAGGACGTCTTGGAGGGCTTTTGGGCCGTCTTGGGCCATCTTGGGCCGTCTTGGGTGCATCTTCGGGCCATCTTAGCCGTCTTGACGGCCATCTTGGGCGTCTTGGAGGCATCTTGGAGGCCATCTTGGCCGTCTTGGAGGCTATCTTGGGCGTCTTGGGGGCCTTCTTGGGGCCGGCTTGGGGCCGTCTTGGGGCCTTCTTGGGGCCCTCTTGGGGGCCTCTTGGGCCGTCCTGGGGCCGTCTTGGAGGCTTCTTGGGCACTCTTGGGGCGATCTTAATGGCCTCTTGGGCAGTCTTGGCCCGTCGGAAGGCCGAAAAGGAGCAAAATCTTCTAGAAAGCCTAAGGAAATCATTGATTTTGACCCTTTCGAACCTTCCTGGAGGAGCTTTTGTAGGCCTCTTGGGGACCTCCTGGGCAGTCTTAGGCCATCTTAGTCATCTTGGGCCGTCTTGAAGCTTAGACGAACTTGAAGGCATCTTGGGCCGTCTTGGAGGACAACTTGGACCATCTTGGAGGCCATCTTGGGCCAACCTGACCATCTTAGAGGCCATCTTGGACTGGACTTTGGGGTAGTTTGCGGTGGTTTCCGGACCTTCCGGGACCCCCGGCGGGACGGGCCGAAGCCCAAAGGAGAGTTCTAAAAGAACCAAAAGCGAAAGGGTTCAGCACGCCGGGCACCCTTGTGGCAGGCCAACAGGGGGCGGCGGATCGAACACGCCTACGGCGATTCACCGCCGCCCCTTGCCCTTTTGGAAGTGCCTATGTGGCCGAACGTTGTGGCCAGAGGCCTGCCAAGCTATCGGACCATGTGTTCCCCGAATCGGTTTGGAAAGCTTTCGGGTAACACGTGGGGGAGAATGAGCATGAAGAGGAAGAGGAAGAGGCCTCTTGGGCCGTCTTGAGCCGTTGGAATGGCGAGAAGAAACAAATGCCAACATCCTTGAAACACTTAAAGAAAATGAATGATGTTTGTCTCTTCGGGCCCTCCTGGAGGACCTCTTGGAGGCCTCTTGGGCCGTCTTGGAGGCCTCTTGGGGGTCTCTTGGGCCGTCTTGGGCAATGTTGACGCCATGTTAGGCCGTCTTGGAGGCAGCTGGGGCCGTCTTGTAGGCATCTTGGGGGTCGAAGCTATCGGACCATGTGTTCCCCGAGTCGGGTTGGAAAGCCTTCGGGGAAGACGTGAGGGAGGAAGAGGAAGAGGAGGAGAAGGAGGAAAAAGGAGAAGGGGGAGGATGCCTCTTGGGTACCTCTTGAGGCACTCTTGGGCTCGATTGGGCCATCTTGCGACCGTCTTGGAGGCCATGTTGGTGCTATCTTGGGCTCTCTTGGAGCCTCTTGAGGGCCTCTTGGGGCCTTTGGGGAACTTCTCGGGGGCCTCTTTGGCCGTCTTAGGGCGTTCCTGGCCCCTCTTTGGGCCGTCTTGGGGGCCTCTTGGGCCGTCATGGGGCCATCTTGGAGGCCTCGTGGGCGATCTTGGGGCGATCTTGGGGGCCTCTTGGGCCGTCTTGGGCCGTCGGGGTGCCGAGAAGAAGCAACTACCAAAATCCTTCAAAAACCTCCGGAAAACTAATGATTTTGGCATCTTCGGGCCCTCCTGGAGGACCTCTTGGAGGCCTCTTGGGTCGTGTTGGGCCGTCTTGGAGGCTTCTTGGGCGAACTTGGGGGTATCTTGGACTCTCTTGGGCCGTTTTGGGTGCCGTCTTGGGCCATTTTGGGCGGACTTGGAGGCCATCTTGGGGGCCATCTTGGGCCAACGTGGTCATCTTGGGGGCCATCTTGAGCCGTCTTGGGGGATTTTTCTGGGCTTGAGATCCCTTTCGGGTGGCCGGCGGGACGGGCCGAAGCCCCAGGGGGAGTTTTTGTGGAAACAGAACCAAAACCAAAACCGAAAGAATCCAGCACGCGAGTTTACCCTGTCATGCGATCAAGCTTCGTTGCGCCAGGGCGCGGGGGGAAGCACAGCTGGCGGACTCGCGACCCATCGCTTAAGGGACAATCCGCGGCATCCGCAATTTAGAGTCTCCTTTGTTCGCCACAGTGTTGATCATCTTTTGGCAGTAATCTGTAGAATGCTTCAGAGGGGGGCATGAGCATGAGATAGGGCCACCAGGCCTGAAACGTCGAGCGAGGAGTGCAGGAGGGAGCAGGACACAAGTGGAGAAAGGGATACGTTAATGGATTGGGAGGAAGGGTGGAGAGAGGGACGACGACCGACGACGACGACGAATAACTAGACGAGGATCAGTAGGGCTCGCTGGCTTGCCCTCCTTCTGCCCTCCAGTCGTGTTGCCTGCGTCGGCACTACGATGTGTGCAATTCCAGTTCGCATGTGCGGATTAAGCATTCGTTTCTTTTTTGTTTATTGACGTGTTTGGTGTCGCTTGCTGTGCTTGATTCGTAGCACGCAGCAAGAAGGATAATATAAAACGGGGGGAGGAAGGAGGGGACGGAGGAGGAATAAGCATGGAGGAAGAAGGAAACAATGGAGAGAGAAGGGGGGACGAGGATCAGAAGGAGGGGGAACGGCCTAGTTGAAGAAGGGAGCAAGGAGGAGCCGAGCCGATCGAGCATGCAGAGGAGGAATGACAAACCCTCACCCCACTAGGTGGGGTTAAACTAACAGCCTTTGGCTTTTACCAAACAGCCCTACCCTGCTCGAGTCCTTCCAGGTTTCGTTTACTAAACGGCTTCGTTGTCGGGGTGCTTATTATGAGGGTGGTATGAGGGTGTTTCTTCTGCTGTCCAAATGGAGGAGGGGGGACAATGTCGAGCACCTCTCCCAGTGCGCAAGGTGGCTTGCGCTGGACATCCAGTACTTTACCCTTATTACGAGTTGTGGGCACGCCCACGCAAGGGGAAGGGAAGGAGGAAGAGGAGGACGACGAAAGGGGACTGCAAGAGCGGTGCGCTCCTCGGCGCTGCATTGTGGTAAAGTGGTTCCACCATAGGGCCGCTCCTTTTTATGCAAAGGGGTCAAGGATGGGAATGAGCGGAAGGAACACAGACGGAGAGGTTACGGGCGGGAATCGGGATCTGTACGGGAACAAGGGTGGGAGCGGGGGCTTTCTGCGCGACCTTACGAACGAGTTTCCCTCGTTCTTGGTGTTGACACCCCTGCTCCGCATCGAAGTGACCATGACTGTCGACGCCGCAGTGCAGAAAAGTGGTGTTGGGGAGCATGTTTGCCGTTCCCTTCTTGCGCCCAGCCTATCCGAACCTTTCCTGGCGGGTTCAGTGAAAGGATGATGAGGAGGAGGGGGAGGAGGGGGAGGAGGAGGAGGAAGGAGGAGGAAAGGGCCTCTCCAGATCAACCTGCTCTCTGTCTGGGCTTTCCCAGCGGAGGTCATGCACGACGCCAGCACCGCTGCGGCCGTGCCCGCCGAGAGAGGCGGCTGCGACTGCGGCAGCTGATTCCGCGCCGCTGATGCTTTCCCGCCATCTCTGTCGATCCTGTTTGGGGCCTCCCCGTCGACCGTGGCGGCCGAAGCTCCTCTCGTTGGGTTGATACAGAAGTTTGCGTTGCTTCTTCTGTCGCGAAGGCCTTACGGCCGGTGCCGCCGACCCTGAAGGGCCACGACGACGACGGCGGCGGCGGCGACAACGACAACGCTGACGTTGGTCAGAGTCCTCAGATATGTTTCTTGCGGTCTCTTCGGAGCGCTCTCGGGGGCCTCTGGCGGGCAGTTCTGAAAGTTCTTCGAGAGCCTCTCGGGAGCCTCTTCTCGGGGACCGTCTTGGGGGCCTCACGGGCCGTCTTGGGGCGATTTTGGGGGGCTCTTAGGACCATCTTGGAGCGTCGGGAAGCCGAAAAGGCGAAAACGCCAAAATCCATTCTGAAGTTTGCCTCGTGGGGCCCTCGTGGGATTGCTCTTGGAGGCCTCTTGGGGCGTCTTGGAGGCGTATCAGGCTGTCCAGAGGCTTTCTTGGGCGTCTTTGACCGATCGTTCGGCGATTCGGGGTACTCTTGGCCCGTCCTGGATTTTTTGGGCCTCCAGGACAACCCGAGGGGGGATGGCATCTTGACCCAGGACCCACCCTAAACCCCTACAAGGGAAGGGATCAAAGGGAAGGGCTGCACTTCGACTAAAAAACGACGTTATTCAATTTCTTTGCTCCTTAATTTCCTCGGGACTGACGGCGACGACGACGACGGCGGCGACGACGACGACACACAGAAAAGCGTCCCACACACGCCTCAGGGTTGGTGGATTATATATATACACATGTGGGGTGCTGCTGCACATCAACCACTGTTATCGTGTTAGGGCTTATCGCAGACGCTTGCGGCGAGTCAGCGTCGCCGCCTGCCTTCGCCGTCAGTGCCGATGTGGCGAGCGATTGGACTAAGTGTTCCCCCCAGCCGTTGTGGAAACCCGTAGGGGTCACTTGAGAGGGAAAGGGAGGAGGAGGACGAGGAGGAGGACGAGGATGAAGACGAGGACGAGGATGAGGACGACGACGACGACGACGAGGACGAGGATGAGGAGCAGGAGCAGGAGCAGGAGCAGGACTAGGACCAGGAGCAGGAGCAGGAGCAGGATGAGGAGGAAGGGGAGGAAGAGGAAAAAAATGAGGAGGAGGAGGAGAAGACGGAGCAGGAGCAGGAGCATGAGGAAGAGGAGGAGGAGGAGGAGCAGCAGCAGCAGCAGCAGGAGCAGGAGCAGGAGCAGGAGCAGGAGCAGGAGGAGCAGGAGGAGGAGGAGGAGGAGGAGGAGGAGGAGGAGGAGGAGGAGGAGGAGGAGGAGGAGGAGGAGGCCCCCCCTCGCTGCGGCTGCCAGCGGGGTCGCTGACCTCGCGGCAAGCGAGGGCCCGCCCGCGGCGGCGGCCTTGCGCTCGGCGGGAGGGCCCGGGGCGAGCGGCTGGCTGCAGGCCCCCACGCGGGCGTGCCATCGCCTCAGCAGAGCGCAGTTTGGCATCGCCGTGGGTGTTCGCCTGAACTTTGACCTGCCAGGCTGCACGGGGCCCTGCCCGCGCCGCCACCCCAATGGCGGAGTCTGCGGCGCGCCTCTCGACCCGAAGGGCCTGCACGCGCGGGGCTGCGCGGTCGGCGGCTGGCTGGTCCGGCGGCACGATGCGGGGTGCGCTGTGCTCGCGGAATGGTGCGAGGGGCAGGGCTGCATCGTGCACCGCGGGGTGCTGCTCCCGCGCGCCTCGCCACATCCCCGAGTCGGGCATGGACCTGGTGATTCACGCGCCAGGCGCTGCCGAATCGCTCTTCGTCGTCCTCATGGTGGTCAGCGCGGTTTCCCAGGACGCCCTGGCGCTCGGAGCTGCGAGGAGGGACGGGGCGGCCGCGGCGGCTGCGGAACGGAGGACAAGAACCCGCTACCCGCTGATACCCGCGCTGCCTGTCGTGGTGGAGGACCACGGGCGGCTGGGCGAAGAAGCGGCGGCCCTCGCCAAGTGGTTGGCGCCAGCTGGCGACGTGAGACGGTCGGCGGCCATCCGCGAGTTCCAGCACCCCCTCGGTGGCGCGCTCCAACGGCGCGCTGCCGACGCGGTGGCGCTGGCCGCTACAGGCCCGGCCATGGTGAGGAAGAGGAGGAGGAGGAGGAGGAGGAGGAGGCTGAGGCCGAGGCCGAGGCCGAGGCCGAGGCCGAGGCCGAGGCCAGGCCTAGGAGTAGGCTGAGGGCGAGGAGGGGCCGGTAGAGGCTGAGGAGGAGGAGGAGGAGGAGGAGGAGGAGGAGGAGGAAGGAAAAGGAGAAAGAAAAGGAGGAGAAAGAGCAGGAGGAGGAGCAGGAGGAGGAGGAGGAGGAGGACGAGGAGGAGGAGGAGGAGGAGGAGGAGGAGGAGGAGGAGGAGGAAGGAGAAGAGAGGACGAGGACGAGGACGAGACGAGGAGGAGAGGAGGAGGAGGAGGAGGAGGAGGAGGAGGAGGAGGAAGGAGGAGGAGGAGGAGGAGGAGTGAGGCCGAGGCCAGGCCTAGGAGTAGGCTGAGGGCGAGGAGGAGCCGGTAGAGGCTGAGGAGGAGGAGGAAGGAAAAGGAAAAGGAGAAAGAGAAGGAGGAGAAAGAGGACGAGGAGGAGGAGGAGGAATCGGATTTAGAGGGGGAAAACGCGGAGGCCCGCCCCAGAGAGCGCGGAGGCGCCAGCAATGGCCGATGGGCGTCAGGGAAAGGGGGCACCGAGTTGGAGGAGGAGGAGGAGGGGGAAGAGGAGCCGGAGGAGGAGGAGGCGGAGGAGGAGGCAGAAGTCGAGGTGGAACCGGAAGAGAGGACGGCGGCGGCGGCGGCTGAGGGGGCGGAGGCGGCCAGGTTGCAGCGGAAGCGGCGCCCCGAGGTGAGGGCGGCGGAGGGCGCGGCGGCGGCGACCCCCAGCGGCGATGGCGGGGAGGACGGTGGAAGCCGGAAGGAGGAGGAAGGAGGAGGACAAGCAAGGCAGGGAAGTCGTGTCGTGGGCAAGTCCTTCCGCCTCTCGTCAAAATTATCCCGGCAAAGCAACCTAACAGTGATGTGTAGAAGCATAGCTGGAAACATTGCCTGTGGTATTCATGTAAGAGTGCTGTTGTAGAATTCTGGTGTTCTCGCAGTTGCATTCGGATTCGCAGTGGCAGTCGCAGTGGCAACATCAGCGGCAGTCGCAGTCGCGATCACGTTTGGCCAACTTGTTTTCGGCCCGTTTTTGTTTGGACGTTCCTTTATTTCGCTTCGGTATCCGGCCGAACTGCTTCACGTGCTCGACGAGCGTTTGCAGAGGACCGCTCAATGCAGCACGCTGAGGAGCAGCGCTGTTCCCTGCCGCAGGCTGAGGAGCACCGCTGTTCAATGCAGCAGGGTCAGGAGCACCGCCGCCAGACCGAGAACTATCAGCATGTCCTGGCATTAAGGTGTGCAGTAGGCGCTGCGCAGTTCCTTTGAAAGGAAATCTTCAAAAGCAGGGCTGTAGCCAAGAAGGCTACGGGGACGATGATGATGATGAAGATGATGAGTCTTGGAAGTCTGGGAAGTGGAAGAGCACGAAGTGGCGTACAGTTGGCTCAGGGCATTCAAAATGTTGCCCGGGAGTGAAGTTCTGGGAAGTGGAAGAGCACGAAGTGGCGTACAGTTGGTTCCGGGCATTCAAAATGTGGCCCGGGAATAGTGTTCTGGGAAGACCAAGAGCACGAAGTGGCCTACAGTTGGCTCCGGGCATCCAAAATGTGGTTCTGGAATGGAGTTCTGGGAAGTCGAAGAGCACGAAGTGGCCTAGAGTTGGCTCCGGGCATCCAAAATGTGGCCCGGGAACGGAATTTTGGGAAGTCGAAGAGCACGAAGTGGGCTACAGTTGGCTCCGGGCATTCAAAATGTGGCCCGGGAGTGGAGTTTTGGGAGGTCGAAGAGCACGAAGTGTGCGACGGTCTGCTTAAAACGAGCCCGGCCCTCGCCTGTCCGGCTCCCGCCCAGACCCCCCTGGGGAGTCATCAGATGCTCTCTTTTGACCCCGTCAGAAACTTATCAGTCTTCGCTGTTAGGTAATTTCTATGTGTTTTTACCCTGCGCTGGCTGGCTGGTGGTGTCTGGCTGGGCTTGCCTTTCGTTTCTTTTTGTGCGCTGCTGGATGTGCCAGCGCGCTGCTTCCTCCGCCGCGGTGACAGCGGCACTGTTCCGACATCTAGCGGAATACCCCGAATTTGTATGAGTGTTTCGTGGGGTCGTGGGTCGGGTCCTGTTCCGGCGCTGCCCCGAGACAGCGCCCGCCCGCTGTAGCCTAGAACGGGCCCGTTCTTGGTTAGAACGGGGTCGTTCTAGTCTAGAACGGGGTTTTGCTAGTCCAGAATGGCCCTCTTCTTGCCTTGGTGGCGCCAGGAAGGCTTCACCTTTTGTTTTTTCCCGCCCAGCGTGTGTGGGCGGGTATAAATTTCGAGCCTGCCTGTTAAAGGTCGGTTTGTGTGTTTGTTTTTTGCCTCGGGGGTCTCGCCCTCCACTGAAGTGACGTGCGGACTGCGTGCTGCGCTCGCCAAATTTTTGACCCTGAGCGTCGCTATTCTCTTGGATGCAGACGTTTCGCAGCCTGAAGGAGCCTGAAAGAGGAGGAGGAGGAGGAGGAGGAGGAGGAGGAGGAGGAGGAGGAGGAGGAGGAGGAGGAGGAGGAAAAGAGGACGAGGACGAGGACGAGGACGAGGACGAGGACGAGGACGAGACGAGGAGAGGAGAGGAGGAGGAGGAGGAGGAGGAGGAGGAGGAGGAGAGGAGGAGGAGGAGGAGGAGGAGGAGAGGAGGAGGAGGAGAGAGGAGGAGGAGGAGGCGGAGGCGGCGGCGGCGAGGAGGCCGCTCGGGAGGAGGAGGACGAAGGCGACGTGGCGGCGACGCCGGCGGGGGGCTGCCGCGAGCGGCCCAGCGCGCGCGGGCGGGCGAGCGCGCGTCGCGCGCGGTCCGTTCGCCTCGGGGCCCTCCTCGGAACCGAGGGCCCCGGGGCGCCGAAAGAGGAGGAGGAAGGGGAGGAGGATCACGAGCCGGGGCAGGAGCAGGAACAGGAGCAGGAGGACAGGAGAAGAGGAGGAGAGGACGAGGAGCAAGAGCAGGAACAGGAGGAGGAGGAGGAGGAAAAGGAGGAGGACTAGTGTAAACCCAAGAGTCATCAACGATGTCGGAATTAACCCTCCTTCCAAGCTCCCTCTTCATAGGCCACTACGACGGTCCATTTCCATTGAGGGAACTGCCTCGTTGGAAGACAACCGTTTGAAGATCCTGAAGCATGCCAAAATATGGTTCTCGAGATTTCAACGCCACGTATCAACCGGACTGCTGCGTCTTGACGATCCGGAATCGTGCCAGAACGCCATTGTTGGGACGCCAACGCCGCGAACCAACATAACTGCTGCGCCAAAACACCATGTCAAATCTTGAGTAATCCACATACATGGTTGCACCAACATTATCTTGAATTGTTTCCAACAACATGTTTGGTATGTTGATCATGGGGATCCGTGAAACTCTTTTAAAGTTTACAACGAATGCGCGCGGCGCTAAGGCGAGAACCACATTTTGAAAAGGAGCCTCCCTCATTGCGTTGAGCTCTTTGCAGATTTTGCAAACGAACGTGTGCGGCGCTAATGCGCGAGCCACGTTTTGAAAACGACCCGCCCTCAATCCGTGAAGCTCTCGTACATTTTGAAAACGGAGAGAGCCACATTTTGAAAACCACCCGCCCTCAACCTGTGACATTTTTTGCAAAGTTTGAAGTCGAATGTGCGCGGCGCTAAGGCGAGAGCCACATTTCGAAAACGACCCGCCCTCAATCCGTGAAACTCTTTGGCAAGTTTTGAAAACGAATGTGCGCTGCGCTTAGGCGAGAACCACAGTTTGAAAACGACCCGCCCCAAATCCGTGAAGCTCTTGCAGATGTTGTAAAGGAATGTGCGCGGCGCTCAGGCGAGAGCCACATTTTGAAAACAATCCGCCCACAATCCGTGAAACTCCTGCAATTTTTGAAAACGAATGTGCGCGGCGCTAAGGCGAGAGCCGCATTTTGAAAACGATTCGCCGTCCATTTGTGAAACTGCTGTGACTGTTTAAGCTTCGGAGCAATGAATGGCGAGAAAGTCTCAGGCGAAACACCGCGCCCGCCTCAAAAACTGGCCTCGGGGTGCGACAGGGAGCAGTTTATACATAAGGTGAAGGAATGGAGAAAGAGGAGGAGGACGAGGAGGAGGAGCATGAGCAGGAGGAGGAGGAGGACTAGTGTAAACCCAACAGTCATCAACGATGTCGGAAGTAACCGTTCCTCCAAGTTCCCTCTGCATATGCTCCTACGACGGTTCGTTTCCATTGAGGGGACTGCTTCGTTGGAAGACAGCCTTTTGAAGATCATTCAGCATGCGAAAACAGTGTTCTCGGAATTTCAACTCCACATATCAACCTGACTGCTGCGCCTTGATCCGGAATCGCGCCAGCACGCCATTGTTGGGATGTCAACACCGCGAACCAACATGATTGTTGCACCCGCATAATCTTGAATCCTTTCCAAAACACCATGTTTGGTACGCTCATCATGGGAATCCGTGTAACTCTTGCAAATGTTTTGAAAATTAATGTGCGCGGCGCTAAGGCGAGAGCCATATTTTGAAAACGACCCGCACTCCATTTGTGAAACTTTTGCAAATTTTGAAAATGAATGTGCGCGGCGCTTAGGCGAGAGCCAAATTTTGAAAACCACCCGCCCTCAATCCGCGAAGTTCTTGTAAATTTTAAAACGCATGCGTGCGGCGCTAAGGCGAGAGCCACAGTTTGAAAACGACCCGCTTTCAATCCTTGAAATTCTTGCAAAGTTTGAAAACGAATGCACGCGGCGCTAAGGCGAGAACAACATTTGAAAAGGAGCCGCCCGCAATCCGTGAAACCTTTACAAATTTGAAAGCGAATGTGCCCGGTGCTAAGGCGATAGCCACATTGTGAAAACAACCCACCCTCAATCATTGAAATTCTTTGCAAATTTTGAACACGAATGTGCGCGGCGCTCAGGCGCGAGCCACATTTTGAAAACGACCCGCCCTCCATTTGTGAAAGTGCTGTCACTTTGTAAGCTTCGGAGTCATAAGTGGTGAAGTCTCAGGCGAAACGCCCGGCCCGCCCTAAAATCTGGCCCCAGGGGTACGTCCGTCAAGTATTATGCACGCTGTGGTGAACGCGGGTGCTGTGATGCACGCAGGCGCCATCGTGCACGCAAACATTGGTGCACGCGTGCAGCACGCATCGGAAACAGGCCGTCGGTACAGATGTGAGACAATGTTCGTGCTATGTTTCGGCTTTTGGGGCGGTCGAAGCAGAGTACTGTAGCACCGTTTACTGTGCAACGTAGATGCAACCAAGCGGCAGCGGACACCAACACCAAATAATGTTCGAAGGAGAGTGTGGAGGATGCAAACCCTGTGGTGCTGCACGATGGTGCACGTATGCGCTGCGCAGTACAGAAGCGATGTGGTGCACGTGTCTGCGGCGGTGCAGGCAGTGCTGCGCATTGGGGTGTTTGCTGTGATGCTCACACGGCGGGGGGGGGCAGCATTACTTTATGCCCCCTACCCCTCGCCCGCCCCCCCCATAACGCGCGTCATGTCCGCGAATATTAAGACGCGCCCCCATTCCCTCCCCATCATCTGTTTTCCTCCCTCTCCACTCACCCTCCCCATTTCCCTCCCAACGTCTTGCCGCTCTCATCCCCTATCACCGAGACAAGGAAGGAGGAGGCTGCCCATGTGCCAATCAGGCGTCGCCGACAGCGACATCTTCTTCGGAAGCCAGCATGTTGTCCCTCCGCCGCCTGCCGTGATGGCGCCCATGCAGGACAAGCGGCCCCCCGTCAGCGACGTCCCTCCAGTCAGTCCGCTTGAGGTACCCCTCTTCATCTCAGGGCCCATGCCGACTCCGCCGACTCGATTCGATTCGCTTTCGATCGGTTCCTGCTTGATTCGATTTCAGATTTCGAGATCCTTCTCCTCCTCCTCCTCCTCCTCCTCCTCTTCCTCCTCCTCTTCTCGAAGAGGAGATTCGGCATTAACATTTGGGGCCTCGCGCGACTTTTTTGGATGGACCTCCTTGGCGGCGCCGCCGTCGCACCCCCGGGCGCGCAAGAAATCCGCGCGGAATTCCCAAAGTTTAGGTTTATGCAGTTTTTATTCCTCTATCCTCATCCTTCCCCTCCGCAACCTCTTCTTGCAGACGGGAGGCGCGTGGGTGACAGGGAGGGGCTTCAAGATGCCCAGGGCGTCTCGAGGATGCGTCTTGTACCACATGTGTTCTCGTAATGTATGAGGCGTTTACGAATGCAGAAGGTGGTGCCGTATACGTTTTCTCTAGTTCATCTAAGTGATAAACATCAGCAGTTGCAGCTTGTGGCAATGGTTGTAACAACAAGTGGCGCTCGCCCAAGCGTTGCGAGGGGCAGCACATTAGAAGTATTTCAGAGGGTTGGGTCTTCTTCTCATCGAAAAGCAACGAGCCCGGCACGGTCCCAATCAGAGGCTTTTTTCTCCCAAAGAAAATACAAGCAGTTCTGAGCAATGCGACGCAATGCAGTGCAAAACATTGATTGGCATTGCTTGCCACGGCCAGCTTTGGATTTCCTTCTGGACCTCCCTGCAGCAGTCGACTCGCTCGACAACGAGAGCCGCTCGACGGTCCTTCTCCTCCTCCCCCTCCTCTCCTCCCCCTCCTCGCCCTCTTCCACCTCCCCGAACTCCTCGAACGGTCGATCGTCAGTACATGTACCATAGCAGGGAAGCGGGTTAGCAGGGTTTGGCCGTGGGCGTTTGGCTCAAGGCTAGTCAGCCGCACTCGCTACACAATGTATCTTACACACCCTTCCGCTTTACAGTCCGCCTCACAGAAAACATCCGTTTTCACATCCCGCTTTACATTTGTAGTTGGTAGCGGGGTACGCTGTTCCGTGATCCACAGCCGCCATGGCCCGCGTGGTGCTCCATCGCGCAGGCGGTTCTCGCTCTACGTCCCGCTGTACGTGCCGCTCTACACTCTCAACATGGCGCCGCGCTCCCTGCAGCGCGCTCGCCACCGCTCACCTCCTCCAGATCGTCGATGCCGGGAACAGCCCTGTCGGGATTATCGGGGCGCCGGCCGCGCACCCACCAGGAACCACGAATGGGTAGGAACACGAGTGCATCTACATGGGCACGTACAACGAGGACGCCGTCCCCCGCGCCCCCCCCCCCTGGGCATTGTCGAACTGCGTTCGAGATGCTCGAGCGCCCTTCGTCGTCGCAGCACTCGCCTGTGAGCGCCGCCGTCAGCGTCGGACCGTCGAGCGACCCGATTTCCAAGCTCACGGTGTCGGCCCAGGGCCATGAGCTATCCGCAACTGTGTTGCGGACGTCCGTGGGGAAAGGGGAAAAGGACGCATCGCCCTCATTGCATCCGCGCGCGGGTGTAGCCGACATTATGTGAAGCAGTCGTTCGATCCGACGCTCGCATCGTCGGCGTTGGCATAGCGCCCCGAGTTTTCCGCAACTGCGTTGCGGAAGCCGGGAAAGGCGCGCGCGGGCAAGAGCGACGATGCATAGGAGTGTCGGGCAACTGCGCTGCCATCCGGGGGACCGTTGCACAAGCATGGGGATGTTCGCTATCGGTTCCCCCAGATATGAACCTCAATGGCACCTGCGGACTCCCTGCGTCTGGGCAGACCTGGGTCCCCATGCGCATTCCTCTTGGCTACCGCACAGTCAGCAGCGCGCAGTACGATGGCAACATGACGCGCGACTTCTCTCGCGCGGGGTGCTTCGCGTGCAATCCGCACGCCAATCGCGCGATGGAAGAGAATACCCAAGAAGCCAACGAGGGGGAACGCGCCAGGGACAGGTACCCACGACGCCTTTGAGGCTCACTACCAGAACACCGCCATTGGCGGGCACCAGGACCGTCGCGCCTCCTCGACACCAGGAGGGGGCCCCACTCGGGATGGAAGGTCATAGGAGTGGGCATGGCCGCTGCCATCAGCTGCATCGCCCGCGCGGACGCTGGCGGCGGCGGCAGCGGCAGCGCGCGACGCTTCCGCGCCCGGGGCCCGGGCAGCGAGCTCGCGCGCCCTCCCGAGGCCGGGCGCGGGAGGTGATGGTCTGGTCAGCGGCGAACTCGGGCCTGTGCGAGTTTCGCCAGGCGGCCCGCGTCTCGTCTCGCCTGCCCTGCGCGGCTCGCGAGCGCGCGGACGAATGCCCGCCGGTTATCTTCGTCCGAGGTGGCAATGTCCACGGTGGCCCAGCGCCGCCCATGACCCACCTCGCGCACGGCTTGGCCGAACGGCGGGGCCAGCCTGGAAATGAGGAGCGCGCGCGGGTGGCATCGGCTCTGGTGGGCTTCGAGCGCTTGCCGCAGGAGCGCGGCGACAATTGCCCCACCGGGTTCGACATCCTCCGCAACAGGGCGCAGCAGGTCGGTCAATTCCCGATCGGCTGCGAGGGCCCGAGTCACGCGCTGCTGCGCGCCGTGGGCGAGTCGAACATCCGGCTCGCCAGGGCCCCGCAGCGCCGCGACGTGGCCTGCCCGGCGGGCGCGCCGCAGCTGGCGCGCGCGATGGGCCAGCTGCGCCGATTTGGGCCACGTGATCGAAGGCTCGCCGGGGGAGCTCGCCTCGGCCGCGCATTCGCCCCAGCGCCGAGCGTCTCTCGCGGGCGCGCCCGCGCGCGACCAGGAGCAGAGCGCCCGCGGCGCTGGAGCCAGATCGAGCTGGGATGGCACTGGTCCTTCAGCCCTTCTTGGATGGCGGCGGCGGCTGCCAAGGGTTTAAGTTATTTACTACAAGAGCCTAATGGTCAGTAGCTACTCATGCGACTTAGCTAAGAACTTAGCTGAGCACTTAGTACGTGGCTCGGCTGGCTCACTTAGCACAGACTGAGGTAACCTTTCGCATTTAGTTAGTTAAGTTCTTTGGAGCGGTCAGCGAACTTAGCTAACCACATGTAAACAGTAAGCCATGTAAGTTATCAGTGATTCGGCGACTGTCTGGCGCTTGATTTCCAAGTCCCCAGCAGAGGCACAAGGAAATGCACCCCGTTAGTTCGTTGAGCGCTGCGGCGCTACATGGTGGGCATTCGGCATTCGATGCGGAGTCGTCGTCTTGGATACTTGCGTTTGCATATCGAAAGCGTCGCGGCGCTGTCTTCTGACGCGCTTGGATTGAAGCGCTGCAGCGCTGTATACTGCGGCTTGAAGCGCGGCTTCAAGTTGCGTGTTGATCGTTGTTCAATCGTCACCCAGCTCCGCTGCGGCGGAATTTGAAACCCCGCGCGCTCGATCGAACGTTGCACGCGTTGCGCTTGATGGTTCATCGCGCGCTGCTGCGCGCCAGATTTGAATGCGCGCGCATTGCTTTAGCGCTGCGCGCGCGACATGTTTACAGCGCGCATTCGCCTCGCGCTTCAGCGCGAGGCGCGTTCGTGTCTTATGAACCTCGGGCTGCAGTCCATCAGCAGCTGCATTTGCAAATCCCCCACCCCTTCCACGTCGCTGTCCACGGTCGCCGCGCGCGCGATCAACGCGACTTGAGGCCGCGCGGCCGCGCGGTATCTGCAGGCAGCCCGCGAGGCGCGCGGGGTTGCTTTCGGCGCGCTCACGCCGACGCGCGCATCGCGGCGCGCCGCCACGACGCCGCTCGCGGCGCGCCGCGAGGAGGTCATCTTGCAGCGCAGTGGCTCGGGGCGACTGGCGTCGGGATTGGGCCGACTGAAGGGCCGCCTTCAGATGGAGGGGCTGGCGCGCCAGCTCCAGGCGCAGCCCGCCCTGGCGGGCGCGGACATAGAGAGCCGCGCTGGTTCTCTTGCGACCCCTGCGCGGGCTCGCGACCTGGGCGCCACGGCGCAAGACGACGAGCGCGGCGGCCTTCGAGGCGCCGCCGCGCGGGCCCCAGCTGGACCATCAGCCCCGCGACTCATGCCTGAACTGAGGAGGCCGCGGCTTAAACTGACCCCCCCCTTCGCATAATTCCGCCCAAGAAAAGCCGAAATGTAGCCGTGCTCTGTGGGCGAGCAGCTTTCCTGCGAGCGTGGTTTTTTTCATTGAGCGAGCAGCTTTTCTGCGTGCGCGAGTAGCTAGAGCTTCGGCGCGTTTGAGTGTCGGGCGCGCCGGTCTGCTCTAGCGCAGCCCGTGCGAGCTTCAACCCGATTCGACTGCGGATCTGTGCGTGCGCCATCGCTCCATGATGCGTTCTGCGAGCTTCAGGACATGGCGTGTTTTTTGTTGTCGCTGGGATGATGCGCGCGCCCCGCGCGGGCGCCTTCGTCTGCGCTGGCCGATTGGGTGGGCACTGCAAGATCTTGCAAGGTTTAGGGGTCTCTCGCGCTTTTCGTCGGTCCGGGTCTCTTCGCGGTTTTCGCGCTCACGGGCGTCCAGCGGGATCGCCCGTAAGATGCAGGTGGCGCGCGCCTTTCCCCCGTTCGTTTGTTGCTATTTTGGTTGTGCGGGAAAATGACAGTCCGTTTTATTGCAACGCAAGCACATAGAAATCATCAGCAAAAAACCTCCCCGCTCATCCCGCGCCCTTGGACTCCCTCCCACGGCAGTCACCCCCCACAAGACCAGCCCCAATATGCACTTTGATGGCGGGGGCTTATGTGACCCCGACGTCGGGTTCACTCATTCGTTTCTTTGCCATGGCTCCTCCACCCTTCATCCCTCCTTGGTCCTCCCTCCTCCCTTCTCGTCCCTCCCTCCTCGTTCCTCCCTCATCCTCCCTCCTCCCTCCCTCCTCGCTCCTCCCTCCTCCCTCTTCCCTCCTTCGCCCCCCTCCTACCTCCTTCGCTCCCTTCCTCGTCATCCGAACCATGGATAATCTTCAATGCCA